CCCCCCCCCCCCCCCCCACCCTAAAATTGATCTCAACCCAGGAATGTCCAAATGGCATGAAATTTTCAGGAAATGTTGAGGGTGTTGTGGAATGTTTATGGTAGAATTTTCAGCTCGATACCATGATGTTTACCGAAAATACTAGCCAAACAAGCCTGAAAAATAGCAAATTTGGTTTCCCCAAATTCTCGGTCCAAGTCTATATCATGAATTTAAATTTTCTTTGTTTGAAAGAGCATGTCAGGATGCAGAGGATGACAGAACTCTTTTTTTGAACACTTACTTTTTAAAGGAAAAAAGGGATTGAAAGTTCAGTTACTCAAAAAACCCTGAAAAATGGGGGTCGAGTGACCTAAATGTCTGTATATATAACTGAAAAAAACTTAGTTTAAAAAAAGGACACTGCCAGTCTCTGTGCCTTGACACGCTCTTTGAAAGAAAAAATATATAAATACATTGAATGAGTATTAACCGAGAAATTTGGAAAACGAGCTCGAGAAGCTCTAAATAGAGAAAAAACGAAAAAGATTTCTTTTTGAAAATAGCTTATTTTTCGAATAAGGGTCGCCGACATCTTGAAATTGTTTTCGGAAAAAAGAGGTATTGAAGAAAATTTTTTATCGTTTATGAAAGATCTAAACACGGGTTATCTTCTTCTGAACTTATCTCAATTTTGATCATTCTGACGAAAATTCACTTTTTTGGGATGGGGGAAGGGAAGGGAAGACCTTAAAGATGATATATTAAAATGTAAACGATTAAAAATGTCATCACCCGTGAACAACAATTATGCTCTTCGAGAAAATTGTCAAGATTTTTCTGAAACTGACTTACTATCAACAGCTCCTCAAGCAAAGGAGAAAAGGTAAATTTCTGGAATTGCCAATCCATGAAGAATCCAAAAAAGATTCAGAAAATCCAAGAAAATCCCTAAATCCACAGCAATGCCCTCTTATAAATGAAAGAATTTCGAGCTAAAATTTCCAGCATATGTAGAGCTTTTGATCCTTAAAATATCCTAAAAGTTTCAATGCAAACGGATGCTTCCTTCTCAAGATAATCAACGTTCAATAAAAGTGGATTTTCTGACAAAGATGTGAAATATGAGTATTTCTTGCGATCGTATTATCTTCAGAAGATAACGTCCGTTGGCACTGAAACTTCTAGAATATTTTAAGAACCACAAAGCCTACATATAGAAAAAAATTTCAGCTCGAAACGTCTGTATTTTGCAACAGGATATTGGTATTGGATTTTGGGATTATCAAAATCCCAAAAATCCTAAAAATCCTAAAAATCCCAGAAACCCCCAAAACTCCCCAAAATCCAAAATCCGCCGTTTCCCCCTTGCATTTAGTGCGGAACCTTTTTCGTCCTCGAATTTCGGCGATGCAACTCGATCGATCGATCGACATCGAAATACTCAAGTTAAACAAACACTTCAGTCGATGCATTTTTTAGTTCATAGTGGACGCCAAATGATACGCTTTATTTTATTTCTCTTTGATGCTTTCTCATTTATTTTCATTTTGTATGTGTACCAGAGATGTGCGGTCCACGGGTTTTTACCCGCGGGGGTCACGTGATGATGGGCGGCGGGTGGGGATGTATTTTCACGGGTTCGGGCGGGTAGAAAAATTTTTCGGGGCACAATCAAGGACCGTCAAAAGTAATCGATGGGTGTTGTTATTGTGCACATGTAGTCAGAAGTATGCTATATTGAGCGGTAGATTGTTTTTGACCTATCGGCTTCAGACAAGGGGAAACAATGGATTTGAAGACTTCGAGAGACTACACTCAATGCGTCTTCAAATTTTTGACAAGATCCACGGTGAATGATATTATCCTGATTCAATCAGCTGCAACATATTTAATAGATACATTCGAATTTTGTATCAGGTTTTTTGTAATAAATAAATTCACTAGCCAGGATTATCTGTTAAAAATTAAATTAAATTATTTTAAAAAATTCTTCAGGTTCATCGGAGTGGGGCGAAGCGGGGGTGATTCAGGAAAATGATCGACGGAGATCGACGGGACAGCGCCTGCGGGATAGCAAAAATCGATACGTTGCACGTCTCTGAACTGTTTCGATGATTTTAAATCGATATCGGTATACTGTGGTGTGAATAGAAAATTTCATTCTATATCATCTTTATAGATGTATATAACTTAATTCGTGTGATATTTATCAGAAAGAATACTTTTGCCATTTGAAAAACCCTTTACCCTGGACGAAATGCGTCATGGTAGCTATTGTCACCCATCCACTCGCCATCGACCCACACTCGCAAAAATTATAGAATGAAACATGAGCTCTGCAAGATTGCCACATTGAAGATGGATGAAAGAAGAAAAGAATGAATAAGTATGTGAAGTCACAATCACATTTTGTTTCCTCTCCGGCTTCCTTCTTTCTTATTATTATTCATCTGACAACATTTTCCCCCAGTATTACCCATTGTACAGCGTAACGCGATTACTATTTTGTTGATTATTCATCCTTATCTCAACGTACTATTTTCCCTTCTTGGAAAAAAAGGAAGAAAAGAGAACACAACATATGGTATATAAGAGGCACTCTAATGAGATTAAAAGTCTGTGTTACACATTACTTTTACACAAATGGCACTCGATCTTTTTAACGAGCTATTTAACGACTTGGACGATGTAGAAGTGGTAGATGAGGATGATGTGTCTCCGTCAACGGATTCAGACGAGAATTCTACGCCTTCATCAACAGATTTGGATCTTCTTCTTTCATCTTCGACAAAGTATAAAGATAACAGTGAGAAAGGTACCCTTTCTTCTCAATTACCACTACGACTAACATCGACATACGCTCGTCAGCGTCCACATTCTCTTGAACGCCAGGTTTCATTATCACCTCCTCCTTCGAGATCAAGAACAAGTACTGCTCCGTTAACGGATCTAGACATACTTCTTTCATTTGCGACAGAACAGACAAAGCAGACCCGTGTTTCTTCTTCATCACCACCACGGACACCAAAACATACTCGTCATCTTTCACATTCTCCTGTACGCCATGTCTCATCATCGCCTGCTTCGACATCAAGAACACATGCTGCATCTGCCGACTCTGGCATATTTGTTCGTACTTACAATCTACCATCACGTTCAGATCTTGTTTCACTTCAGACGATTACTATTCTAGAGCATCTCAAGGCTACAGTGTTTGTTAATGGTGGTAATAATAATTTAGTACAAATAAATACAAGGGTCAATCCATCTCCTCAATTGATATTGCATGGTTATGTAGATCAACATCTTCAAATGGATGAGATTGTGAAACGTTTCCATCGACTAGTAAAGTTTGTTGTTGAACTGCAAACGGAATATAAGAAAGCAATGCTAAATAGCATACAAGCTCTTGTTGATCGTATGAATAAGGTTCGTGTTGAGGGTAAAATGAAACGAATTTGGAATACCTTTATCGCCTATGTGAAAGATTTGCTCAAGGAAGAAGCAGACAAATTGTACACTCTTTACAAAGATCACATTGAAACGCTATGCCGATCGCTTGTTGTAACTGGATGTATCAAGATGAACGTGTCCTATGAGACTGAATTGAATGATTTCAACGACTCCTTTACGAACAAACATTCAATTGATAATTCATATGAAGATATTAAGCAACAAGCCTTCAAGGTATTCAATGCCGACATGAAGGGAAAATGGAAGCCAGAAGACGTACCAGACGACAAGATTGCGAGCAAAGTACTTGGTAAGCAGAGTTATTAAAAAAAACGTTATTTTCTTCTTCCATACAGTGAGATCTGCATGTGCTTGTTGAGATAAGAAAAGGTTTCTTCGATATTTCGAAGTTTAATTCTGTTAGAGGAGAACAAGCTTTTAAAATGCGATATCGTTTTTTTATTACTAATTTCGAAACAAAGGGAGTAATCCCTTTTCGTCCCCTTTTTTATGGACATCGGTCGTAGAAGTCCATTCCGAACTTCAGTTTCTTTGAAAATGTCCGATGTTCGGAACGGAAAATACAGGATGCTTGGAACACAAAGTGACGGAGGTTCGGAATAAAAAATGACCGATATTCGGAACGAAAATACTCCGGATATTCGGAAGAGAAAAGAATTTTTTTAATAACGTAGTTTATTTTCTTTTATTTCCTAGTATAGTCTTTCATATCAGTAGCAAGTTTATAATATAATTTCGTCGGTGGTGCGCTACGATTTGCTTCAAGAAATTTTCTTAATCTAGATCTAGATCTAAATGTTAAAATCACTTTATTATCTTCATCTGGAGGATGATTATGTGCCACTGAATTTGAACTGGCAAATGAATAAATGGGATTTTTTTCAGTTGCTGAATTCTTTGTTGTATTACTTGCTGTACGACAAGGTGATTTTTTATTATGTTTTTCTTTACATGTCCATCTGATCTCATGCTTCTGAATAACTTTGATTTGATAAGTATAGCCTGCCATAAACAGCTCATCCTTTGATCTTATACTTTTGATAACGGTAATTGCACTAGGTTGTGGTAGGTGAATAATTTCAGATGAAGATGATGATGTCGAAGTAGGAATTGTAGAAGTGTTATTTAAACTTAGATTGTTCAAGTCAGATGAAACAGAATCGATCGTGATGGTAGAAGAAGATGAAGATGATTGAGACATTGATTGAAGAGATGATAATGACGATGATGAGCTACTGTTAGAACGTGTACGTAAAGCCGTTTTTGAACGTCTAAAAATTTGAATAAAAACTTTTAAATTTAAAGAACTGCGTCTTACTTTAGCGTAGTTGATTTTGATTGATTATGTCGAAGATTAATTGGAGAAGGAGAGGTAGAACGATATGCGGTCGAGCGTGATTTTGCTCGGCTACGCAGTTTTGTATTATTATATTTGATGGGCGGATAAGCAGGATATGATGTAACTATTGCTGTGAGACCAATGCTCTTCGATCTCGTAATAATACCCATCTAAAAAGCAGCGAAGCGTGCAAAGAATAATGAATATATATACACATCCTTTCTTTTTTTCCAAGAACAAGAGCTACTTATGACCATTATATAATTCACCAAACCAATTCAGTATGTTGCGCGAGTTATCGTTCCAGCCATTCATGTTCAAGATGCTACCCTCTATAAAACAGAGAAGTTTATAGTTTTACTACTCATTCCCACTAGAAAGCATACATCAAAATTAATTTCCAACATTCTGTATTTTTTCGTTCCGAACATCTGGACGACTTTCATTCCGAACATTCGGAAAATCGATTTTATTTTTGTATCCGATTTCGAACATCTGGTTATTTGACCGGATGTCCGGAAGAGTGGGAACGAAAAGGGACAAACCCAAACAAAGCTAGTGAAGAGAAGAAAAGTAAGTACATCAAAAAGTTCACAACATGATTTTACGCTAGAGTAGATTCTATCTAACAAATAAATATGCTGGAGTAAGTTCGTTTGGAGTTAAGCACACAATGTGAAGTTAAAACTTATATTGCGATATGTGAAGAGTTGGTTTTGGATGATAAAAGTAAGTTTAAGTTAAAAATTTAGCTTAAACTTTACGATTATTGAAAGTTTTACAGTTTTTTATATTTTTAGTTATCATGAAAGTTAAAACGCTGATTTTAGGTCTAAACTAACCTTTCATATTTCCAGTGCTTTTTTTCTAAAACTCATCACCTTCAATATCTCAAAGTAGTTTTCCAACTTGTCCCTCAATTGGGTTATCTTACGACTGTTTTTGAGTGAAATGGTTTGCAGTATAGGATTTGTTCTTTAAGCGGCCATTTTTTAAGTTTATTTTATATGCATTTCTAAGGAATATTTCACATAACTGAAATTGATCGTGTTTGATGTTATTTCGAAGTGTCTATCAAACACAAGAGCGTTTTTTATTCGCCTCAAGCGTTGAGAGAGTGAGATATACTCTCTGGAGTCAAACAGGCAAATAGAATACAGTGTCTACAGATATCTTTGGGATACAGATGAAGTCCGTATAATTCAAGCTATATATAGTTGATTTATCTGGAAGTTTCTCTTTCTCTTTTCATAGATCAACATCTCGAAAAACTCGAAATCGAGTTAGCTACTGATGCATACATTGGTACGACGGAAGAGAAACTTGCCTTACTGCCACTTCTTTTACTTCGTGCACAAATATTCTGTGGTTGTCGTTCACTCTGCTTACCTCTGTTTCACTCATCTGTACAAATACTTGAACAGATTCAGTGTCACACAATTGTGTCAATTTCTACACCAACAGGATCTGGAAAGTCCACTCTCGTACCCGCTTTATTGGCAGCCGATGGCTACAATCCTATCTTTGTTACACAACCACGTCGTTTGGCGTGCTCGGCGATATCTGCTCGAGTGAACAAGAGTATGGATAACAATATTGCTTCCTGGGCCGTATCCGGTGAACGTTCGAAAACGAATAGTAATACTCGAATAACGTATTTTACTGATGGGCTATTCAAAGATATTTTGCAATTCTCAGAAGGCAAACTTCTGTTTGAAGCTGCTTGTAGTCCACGTGGTGTTGTGCTCTTCATCGATGAAGTACATGAACGTTCTACCAACATTGATCTTTGCCTGGCTTTCTTAGCTCTCATGCTTCGTAATGAATTGCACAACAAAGTTAAAATTATTTTGTCAAGCGCTACAATTGATCCGAATATCGAAAAAACATTTAAAGAGCATGACTACCACAAACTAAATATTCCCAAACAGAAGCCATTGCACTCGGTCATAACTCGCAGAAGCCTTGATGAGAATATGTTTGACCTCATATTAAGGTTAAACAACGACTGCAAACGGAACGAACAGATACTATGCTTTGTCAAGTCTACAGGCGAAGTTAATCGATGTGTTGACCTTCTAAAATTGAAGAGTCCCGGTCTTCAGGCATACAAACTCATAGAATCTCAATCAGAGCAAGAACAACAGCAAATCATTGCCGAACAACAGATCTTCTTTTCTACCACAGTGGCTCAGACATCACTGACTTTTCCCCGTCTCAAATATGTCATCGATACCGGTTTGATCAATGTACCTATTTATGATCCAAAGACAGATACCACAGTACTTACCGAACACTATGCTTCAAAAATGACCATCCTACAACGAGTGGGTAGACTTGCACGAACATGTGATGGAGAATATCATGCATATTATGAAACGGTAAATGATAGACCTGTTTTTCCGAAACCTCAAATATGTCAGGCTAATTTAACCGATGTGGAATTTTCTTTGAGAAAATCTCCATTCAAGGATGGTCTTCATTCTTTCAAACAATATCTACCTGATGCACCCGAAAAGGAATATTTGGATAGTGCTGTGCGACGATTACAGCACTTGAATATTCTTGATCACGCCGGATCTTTCACTTCTGTTGGCAATGCTATTGCACAATTGCCTGACTTTGGTAGTGTAACCATGAGCACATCGGTCTATTATGGTCTGACCAAATTTAATTGTGGCCAAGATATGATTCGACTAGCAGCTTGTCTAAGTGTTATGAACAATGCTGGTAGTCTCCGTATGATTCCTGACATATTTAAGCGATCAGATGAAGGTGATTTCATGACCCTATTATCTGTCATGAACCATCTAAAATCACATCAGAATGCAATCGATCATCCAGAGTTTCTTCCTATTGCACATCAGTTTCGACGTGCATTAGCTCGTTTGAAACAATTTGAAAATTTCTTCAAAAAAGCATCGCCACAGCAGCGTAAAGCATCAGAAATATCCACCGATAATTGGCCAAACGTTGCACGTTCGTTACTTGCTGGATATTGGGAGCATGTGTATGTATGTATGAAGGAACTCAATGGAAGCGAGAAGCAGTACTGTCGTTACAATGTCTCAGATCATAATCATACACAACAAAAACAGACAGCAGTGATTGACTACGCAACAACAACTGATCCTAAGCCAAGCATTCGAACTGTGGTACTTGCCCGTGATGTTTTCTGTGGAACTGATAGACGGGGTTGGATTCTCTCTTTTGTTGGTATTATTCAGTCAACTTGGTTAGACAATGCGTTAGAACGAAAGTTTGATGTTACAAGACCAGAGCAAGAACACTTTCTAGCGAACATACGTCCCACAAACGAATTTAAAACCATTGCTCAAGGCGTTACCAACATATCTATCTCTACTAACAACATTAAACTAATCGGTAACGCTGGAGAGGTGTTGGACACTGAAAGTTTTATACGGCGGGAGCTTCAACGCTTGCACAAGTGGCAGTTAGTGGAAGACAACGAGTTAAATAACAATCCGACTTTGCAAATGAATGTCCGCAATATTCGAAAAAATCTCCACTATTTCCATCCTCTAATATGGCGATTTTCAAATGAAAAGCAGATTGCGGTGAAATTGGAGAAGGATGATAAAAACTCAATTACGATCTCTGTCAATAGTCGTGACAAAGACTATGAAGATATCAAAGATACCTTTGACATGTTCGTATGGTGGCTTCGTAAATGTGTTGCTGTACGCAATGAACATTCTGGTGTAATTCCGAAATTTCTTAAGAAACGAGATACAGCCATCGAACAGAGAATTGCTTGTGTTACCGATTCGGAAAGAACGCTGGATAAGCGAATGATGGCGATGCGTGATGGAACTAGAGAATCTAGAATGGAGGTCGTCGCTTGGGTTGCTGTGTGTCAATTTCAATGTCGACTTGAAGGTGGCTTTGTTCGTGACTGGATAGTCGATCATCGTTCAGAACATCCGACATCGATCGAACCAAAAAATTGGGTAACATTCAATAAACAAACAGAATTACCTGAACTTACACCAAAATTAATTCCTGCTGATTTGGATTTTCATCTCCCATTGAAGAAGTATTTTGATCTGGAACGTTTTCTTGATGAAATGCATCGATATGGATTTAAGGTGATAGAATTTCAAGAACCATGGCGTTATATTCTTCTCTTTGATCAATACACATCGACAGGGCCTTTTACAGCAGAGTTCATTCAACCACATGTTGGGATCACACACGACCGTATTGATTTCAACGTTAACAATTTATATGTGGAATGTGACTATACGAAACAATTGGGTCAAAAGATCGACCTTCAAGTTCCTCCATATTCCATTGATCTAGACAGTACTGTTGCTGACATCAGAGCTCATCAACTCATCATGCTTCGACCTGAAGACGCTCATATGAACGAACGAATCAAGAAAATGACTGCTCGTGGTTATAGGTTGAAAGAAAGACGATTTTCTTACATGCCAAATCCACTGGAAAATAAAAATATGGTTCTAACACCAGTACCAGCAGCATCAAATGACTATAAGATGATTAAGGAGCGATTCAAAAAAAAACTTCCACATGCTATTATCGAGTTAATAGAACAAGTACAAAATCCGAATATGCAGAGATTGTATGAAGCTCAGAAGACACAAATCGAACAAAATCATCCACGAAGAGGTGCCAATGAAATGTTGCTCTATCATGGAACAAAGTCTGATCAAGTTAATAGCATACTTGAAAATGGTTTTGATGACCGGTATTTCAAGAATGATGGATTATTCGGTAAGTTATTTCAGCTACGATTCTTTTTCAATTCGTATCTTTTTTTAAAGGACGTGGAGCATATTTCGCAGATGACCCGTCAAAGTCACATGAGTTTACAGATAAAGAGGAAGTGCTTAAAGTTGTTCTTCTTACCAAAGTTTTAATGGGCAAGATGTTTGAGGTCGATGGAAATCTGGAACCATCTACAATACCAATGAACAGTGCACAAATTGGATATGATTCAACAAAGGGAAAAGCCAAAACGACACAGCCTGAATATGTCGTGTATAGGAGTGCTCAAGCTTTGCCTTACTATAAAATCACTTATATACATCCATGATGCTGTTTTCTTTTTCTTCTTGCGTTTACTGTCGCTGAAGTTGCATTCACAAAAAAGATCTAGAATTCATTCAAATAAATGTTACTTTTTATAAAAAGGTCTCATTGCGTAGAGATAGACCCAAGACTGCAAACTTTTTAAAAAGTTCGCTTTTCTCGAGAATATAAGTGAATTTTACTGAAGAAAACTTGTTGTCACCTAAGGATAACCGCGTCTCATGATAGGCAAGGTCTAATTGAACTGACAATTTCATGTTAGCTTCCACTTATAACTTCTACCATATTTAAAAACTTTCATCAAAATCGGTGCAGGTTTTCTAAAATCTCGAAAAACTCAGACGTGAGTTTTGTATCTCTTTCAAGAGGGTTCTCAATATTGTTTTCCGTCTACAGGTGCATATGGTTTTGAATGATTTTGAGGGAAAAAAAATTCAAGATACCCCAGGGGTACCCCAGGCACGAAAAATCGAAAAGTGGCTTTTCGGGAAATGAACTGGTATAATATGATCAGGGAACATTCCTGATTCGAACCAGATTCAAATAAGTTGAATCAAAGAGGAGAGGGGGCGCAATATGGCCGTATCCGCCCTCATCCTTTAGTCATAGTATCCGAACGGCTACCCCAACTTACAAAACTTGACGGCCGCCTTGAAACATGAAATTGGATCCGTATATCAGGCTCGGCGAGATAGGATTATAGCTAAAACTTCAGATCAGTTTATCTGGTGACAGCAAAGTGTCTTACTGTCGAAATACGTTTCCAATTGATATTTGATAGTCTATTGCAAACGATTCGCTTTTCTCTTGATTCGATCGACACGTATCAGGGAACATTTTCTTTTATTCACATTAAACTTGAACCCTAATAAAATAAATTTTCAAAGTAGTTGAATTAATGTAAATAAACATCAGGTAATTTTCATTCTAATTTATTTATTTATTTATTCAAGTTTTTCTTGCAGCGTAAGCTCATGGCGTGATGTCATCCTTTCTTTAATACGTACAGTAGTCAATCTTAGTATATAAGAGATCGATGATAGACAGTATAGAGAGAGAAAAAAACCTTGTTCGTGTGTTCGCATTTGAAAGATTATAATAGCAAGCGGAACTGTAAAAGAAGTGTTCATATTATAGGGATACATTTACAGCAAAAATCGATCGGGAAAACGAGACATGTGTTCAAATAGGAGATGTTCACTATATAGAACTGTTCACTAGTAAAAGTTTTACTGTATTGTTCTGACGGCCCACTGTTCATTACTTGGATCTTGAACGGCGAATCCTGATCCTCGAACAGGAAGAAGAAAGCTATGATAGTAAGTCGATAATTGCTGAGGAAGATAGTGTTGCCGAAGTCACGCCGGGGTTGAATAGGCATCGAATAGTACTGTTGATAAAGATTATACACCATTCTAGCCATGCCAGCGAATGCTCCGGAATTCAACTTTACCGTTGGTAGGCCGGATGCGGGTGAGTGTGGGTGTGTTATACACTCAATTATTATAGATTCAAAGCAGTATATACGACGCGTTTCGACCGAGGCTTAATTCGATCATCATCAGGTATCTTTAGAACTTTTTACTACATGGAAAGCAAAGAAGATCATTAAATAAAACCTAGAATTCGAAATATATAGTAAATTATTTCAATAAAGGAATTTTCAAAGAAGAAAACAACCAAAAAGAAACAATTGCTATTATAATCGAAAGGAATACACTTAATATATGATCAATTTTGTTTGAATCGTAGTTATTTTATAGTCGGGTGTGTTATACACTCAATTATTATAGATTCAAAGCAGTATGTACGGGTGTGTGGGTGTACTTAAATCAATTCAAAAACAAATCAATCTATCTCATAACGAAAAGACAAATCAATTTGCTAGTCTCAACTCTTGCTTTTCAGCAACCGATCAAAGTCGAATTTCAATTGAAAATATAATAATTTCATTTTGTGCTAAATTTAACAAAATAATTAAATAAATGTAGAGATTAATTTTGCCGACGCGTTTCGTGTTATTTATTTATTAAAATAATGAAACACTCTTCAGGGCTCTACATTTTAATTTAGCACAATTTTGTGGAACTCACATATATTTTCGAAGAAAATGGTGAGTGTCAGTTTATAAGCGAGATTTTTGCGGCTCCCCACCCCCTCCCCATTACAGACATTAATTAGTTTAAAATTGTGCTAATTAGGAGCTTGACTAATTAGGCTGCTATTTCTTCCTTTTTTAATTACAGACTACACGAAAAACGCAATGGTTACCCATTACCGACCATAGTAACCAGCTAAGGGTACCATTACAGACCGTAGAAACTAGTATCTGCCATTGTTAAATATACCAGCTAATAATTAATACTCGATTGTAGACATAAGCAAATAGACAATGACCTAATTATAGATTTTTCAGATGAACTATTTTGAATTATTTTAGCAAGCCAAAGGGATATATGTGAGTTCCACATTTTAG